AATACATGAAAAAAATTTAGCTAGCAAATTACAATGCTCTTCTTTAATACAATTAAAACTTTCTTTTAAATTTCGTCGATGAGCCTCGCCGGCCACCCAGGCTGCCAGGCGGTGGCTCCACCACTGTATGTCACTCAATCATGCATGCATCGCAGCTGGTAACTTGTAACGATAACCATGGTGCGTGTCCTGATTCCTCTTTAAGGCATAACTTCTCATTCACATCGACGTCGCACATCGTAGTATACAATGATGGACACAAGATTTGCCTAAGAATAGGGCCTCTACCAACCAAGGAAAACTACATATAAATATTCTAGTCATATGATGATTAAAGGGGCACTTGGTTTCCCAACGCGATAGGCGAGCTTGGTTTCCTGACGAGTTAGCCTCGCCTACCCTAGCTGGGCAAGCCAAACCTTGCTAGCCAACCTCACCTCTCCATTTGTTCCGACTTTTAGCTCGACAAGGTAACATAGTGCCTGACAAAGATTTGAAACATACCCTAAACCATGTACTTCATATCATCCAACCTCCATCTCCATCATCTTCCGCATGATGAACATGGTCATCTTAAGTATAGACAACCACGCCAAACCCTTTGCTCAATGGTCACATTCCACATGAATGATATGGTACTTTTCATAACTTCATATGAATGATATGGTACCCTTCAGCTTCACATGGCCTTCATAGTCCATCAACCATAGCATTACTTCCTCTTCTCTATTGCCTTGTGAAAGGTCCTAATGGCTAGAGGGGGAGTGAATAGCCTAATAAAATTTCTACAACAACACTTAACAAAAGGATTAGACAATTATGAGGCGAAGCGAGTTTTGCGCTAGCCTACCAAAATGCAAGCCACCTACCACAATTCTAGTTTAGGTAGAATCTATTCACACAGTAGCTATGACACTACTCTATGTTAGTGTGCTCTCAAAGACTAACTAAAGAGCCACACCAACCAAGCAAGCAAGTTCTCACAACTAACTACACTAAAGAGCTTGACAACTAGTTTGCGGTAATGTAAAGAGAGTGATCAAGAAAGTTATACCACCGTGTAAATGAAGGAACCAATCAATCATAAGGATGAATAACAATAAAGACCAATCACCTCGGAATCAATGATGAACACAATGATTTTTACCGAGGTTCACTTGCTTGCCGGCAAACTACTTCTTGTTGTGGCGATACACTCACTTGGAGGTTCACGCGCTAATTGGCTTCACACGCCAAACCCTCAATAGGGTGTCGCACAACCAACACAAGATGAGGATCACACAAGCCACGAGCAATCCACTAGAGTACCTTTTGGCTCTCCGCCGGGAAAAGGTCGAGAACCCCTCACAATCACCACGATCGGAGCCGGAGACAATCACCACCCTCCGCTCGACGATCCTCGCTGCTCCAAGCCGTCTAGGTAGTGGCAACCACCAAGAGTAACAAGCAAATCTCGTAGTGAAACACGAACACCAAGTGCCTCTAGATGCAAACACTCAAGCAATGCATTTGAATCACTTCCAATCTCACTATGATGATGAATCAATGATCGAGATGAGTGGGAGGGCTTTGACTAAGCTCATAAGGTTGCTATATCAATGAAAATGGCCAAGAGAGTGAGCTTGAGCCGGCCATGGGGCTTAAATAGAAGCCTCCCACGAAATAGAGCCGTTGTACTCCTTCACTGGGCACAACGCGAGGTGACCGGACGCTGGCCCTGCTTCAAATACTGTTCGTCAGATTTCAACGGTCGTCTGCTGACCGGACGCGTCAGTTAGAAAGTGACCGGACGCTGGACCTCAGCGTCCGGTCGTTTCCAGTAAGGTTCCAAACGCGATTTTTCCCGGTCATGCTTGACCGGACACAGCCAGCGTCCGGTCATACAACGTCTCCTCTGTACGTCCTACGTCAGCGTACGTCAGCACTGACCGGACGCACCCTGCCAGCGTCCGGTCGCAGAGCGACCCAGCGTCCGGTCGTTGGACCGAAACGCACGTCCTCTGCTGCTACTGACCGGACACGCCGGTCCAACCGAGACCAGTGTCCTGTCACTTACAGTGACCTCCGTCTTTTCTGTTTAGGGCACCAGTGGCACCGTTGGACTGTCCGCACTCTACGGGCGGACACTCCGCCGGTGGAGTTTCTTACCCTTGCACACAAACTTCACCACCCTTGATCAAATGTACCAACCACCAAGTGTATCACCTTGTGCACATATGTTAGCATATTTTCACAAACATTTTTAAGGGTGTTAGCATTCCAGTATATTCTAAATGCATATGCAATGAGTTAGAACATCTAGTGGCACTTTGATAACCGCATTCCGATACGAGTTTCACCCCTCTTAATAGTACGACTATCGATCCTAAATGTGATCACACTCTCTAAGTGTCTTGATCACCAAAACAAAATAGCTCCTATAATTTATACCTTTGCCTTGAGCCTTTTGTTTTTCTCTTTCTTCTTTTCAAGTCCGAGCACTTGATTATCACCATCATCATGTTATGATCTTCATTTGCTTCACCACTTGGAGTGTGCTACCTATCTCATAATCACTTGATAAACTAGGTTAGCACTTAGGGTTTCATCAATTCATCAAAATCAAACTAGAACTTTCACCTTGTCCATAGGTGCCAAACCCTTTTCTCACACTTCAACGTCTCAACTATTCATTGTGTTCTAGGTAGTATGCAGATATACCTATTGGTGGGTACCCATAATCCATATTCATACCCTTACCCACCTCATTTGGGTAGGGTATAGTTAAAAGAATTTATCCAATAGAAATGGGTAGGGGAGGGTATTGGGGGTGGATTGTCCATGGATAAGCCTTTAGCTCAATTAATCATTTATTAGTATAATAGGTGGATCGAATAATATAAAGTATGCGGGACCCACATGTTGATTTTACTGTAATAATCTGCATAGAGCTGCTGCTTGTTATAATAAGTCATCTCCAACTAATTTTAGTTAATTTTATAAAAATTTTAAGGTGTGAACGTGGTTTTTAATTTCAGGGTCCAACTTTTAACAGAGGGCCCACATTTTAATCTAGTTGCACAAGTCTGCACAAAAGCAGCCTGATTGCGTACTGATCATCTCAAAAACATTTTAATCAGTTTTGCTCAAAATTTTAAGTGTCAACGTGAGGTTTTTAAATTCTAAGGTCTGGTTTTTTACATGGGTCCCACATATAGATCTAATCTTGTTAATTTGCACAAAGTTGCACACTATTATAAGTAGTTATTTCACCAATCTTTAGTTAATCTCAATGTGTATAGGTAAGATTGGGGAGGGTGAAAAATTGGTTATTATCCAGTGGGTATAGATAAGATTTGGGAGGGTGAAAAATAAATAATGAAGATATAGATTCGGGCATGAAGAAGTGTGGATTTGTTCATACCCTCCCTATTGGCGGGTATATATGCAGATGACATATACTCATGTTATACTGCTCACGTATCTTAGCCCATTTGACTAGATCTAAATGATCACTTATTACACAAAACCTTTGAAATATAACTAGCTAATGTTTTGTTACATAAATGGGCCTTGTTCATTTGTCTTATAATCCGTATGTTTTGGCTTGTCTTTTCAGCGGGAACAATGTTTTTCTCTCACAACAAATCAGCCGGAACAGTGTTTCAGCTTGTTTTTTTTCGGCCGGAACAAGTGATAATTGTCAAACTTTTCGATATTTTTATTTTGGTTGTTTTTTCATCCGAGATCCTTTTCTACCACTACACACACTTTTATATAGGCTCATTTGGTATTAACTATATAAAATCTTATGATGCATATTTGACATCCAAGCCATCTCAAATAAAAAAGTTTAAACTATGAAGTTGTAGATCTCCTATAAAGTTTGGTATTAACTATATAAAACCTTGTGATACTACAATTTTGGTATAAAGTTTGATTTGAGAAAGTTAGGCTCTGTTTGGTTTCTACAGGCGTTCTTAAAATTCTTGTCACATCGAATATTTAGACATATGCATGAAGTATTAAATATAGACTAATTACGAAACTAATTACATAACTTGTGACTAATTTACGAGACGGATATTTTAAGCTTAATTAGTCCATAATTTGACAACGTGATGCTACAGTAACATGTGCTAATGACAGATTAATTAGCCTTAAAAAATCGTCTCGCAAATTAACCTCCATCTATGTAAATGGTTTTGTAATTAATTTATATTTAATGCTCTTTATTAATATCTAAACATTCGATATAACGTGAATTTTATGAAATAATCAAACACCCCCTTACGACGTTTTCGTGTAGCGTATCACTACCGATCATGAACCGACAATGTAGTACCTAGGTGTAATTTTTACTGTCCATATTTTAGATGTACTTTTTATCCTAAAATAATTTACTGTGCAGATTTGAGGTGTATTTTTTTAAAACTTTAATATAATCTCGATTTCAAATTTGATTTATAATTTTTATGTACCAGAAGAGACATTTAAATTTAAAGTATTTTCTTACAAAACATATTACTAAAACACCTCATGAGCTAAAATCTTTAGTTCCAGGCGGGCAAACTCCCGCCCGCGAATTGCAAGATTTCAGCCCCAAACCCGCCCCCAGCGCTCATTTCAACCCCAATCTCCTAGCTATGCCGCCCCCGCCTCCTCCTCAATCGCAAAGAAAGAAAAAACTCAAAACCTGGAAGGCTCTGTCGGCGTCGGCGCATCCGCCCCCCCGGCGGGTGCGGCTCCTCCGGCGAGCGCCCCGCCCCCCGCCCCCGACGTCGCGGCCCCTCCCCGCGCGGCGGGCGTGGCTGCTCCCCCGATCGTCGCAGGCTTGCAGCTCCTCAGTCGAGCGCCCCTCGTCCCCGACGTCGCGGCCCCCTCCCTCCAGCGACGGAGCCCCTCTGGTGGCGGCGCCCCCTCGGCGGAGCTCTGGACTATCCCCTCGGCGGCGGCGCACCCCGTCCCTCCGACGTCGTCTGCCCTGTCCGCACCCCAGTACGCGCGCCGCGCCGGGTTGGATGGCTGACGGACCTAGCCTTCACCAGCTGCGAGCGCTCCTCGGAGATGCAGCCAAGAACCAGGTCGCCATGAACCCCATCAACACTGTCCTTGGTGAGCACACCCTCAATCTCATCTCTGTTTATTCGTGTCCTAGCTCAGATCCCGACCAACTTCGGCCCCGAGCTGCACGCCTGCCTCCGATGCCGCCTCGTCAAGACCTACGACCAGGTACCCTCGATTCCAGTCAGTGCTAGATGTCTTCTGTTTTTGCGTTGTAGCATTGTATCCTATTGCACGTTGTAGTGTCTTTGGATGCTGCAGTTCAGTTCAGGCACAACGGATTATGAGTATGAGCATTGGAACAATGAGATGCACAGATGTTGATGTTGAATGATGAATGATCCTTAGTAAAAAGCATTGATGCCCCTGATGTTATTTATGCAGTCCAGTTTCCACAATAGCTAATTAATATGCCTTTTATTTATGCAGAATTATCTATCTGATGGACCCCAGTAGGAGTTGATCATCTCGTTGGTTGAGAATTGGTGATTAGCTCAAAAGGTAATTTCCTCGACCAATTTCTCCCTTGCTGCCACTCTGAATGGAAGGATATATGTTCCTTCTAGATAACACTAAAGCATTTGTTAAAAAAAAGACTAGCACTAAACCAGATGAAAGAACCTAAATTAGATGACATTGAATCATGCCACAAAAATAGATAGCACTGAGCTGCTGAACAGAACAGAACTGCGGCTTCACATCTTGTAGGGCTTTTTGTGCATCTTGTCTCCATCTCAAGGATAACATTTTTCATGATGAACTTGCTGCTCACCAGTGTAGCTTAATTGGACTGTCCCCTTACTATTTTGTTGTAACTTGTGGACAAGTGCCAAACCAACTGGAAATAATATGTACGGTTGGAGGGGACATAACTGCTGATTGCACTTCTATTCTGTACATGTATTGTATTGAACCAAAATTATTATTTTTGGCTCTGTTTTCTGCATGAGCAGGAGCTCACCGTGTCCTCTCTGATCTCTGTCTTTGTGCAGCAGCTTCTGCGTCCAAGCTTCCTTGGGCCACATTTGCTTCTTGGTTCTAACAGAGCAGCTAGTGTCTCTACAGCAGCATCAGTTCAGTCTAAGAAATGCTCATGCTGCCACAAGGCCTCATTAAAATCCCCCATCACAAGCCAGGGGCCAGTCCAATTTCCTTTCAGCCTGAGAGGACTGTTGCTGATTTCTATGTTTATCTTATCCAATTATTCTCGGAAAAGTACAATTATTTCATATATTTGTTGATGTCCCTTTCTTTTCTTTGTTTGTATCCAGTGTTTAAAAGGCCATGGACTAAGTAATTGGTCTGACATGAAAAAGCTTGCTGTAAGGGTCTGCCATCCTTATTTCATTACTAATGTCACTAGTGGTTCTTGTACAGTATTCCAGTACTATTTTTTTGCTCTCTCTGTTAGAGAACTGCTGTTGATGAACTTAATATGTGGAGTATCTTTGACCCACATATATTCAGCTTCAAGGGCCACTAAAACAGCTATACATTGCTGCACCTCTATCCCACATAGATGTAATTCACCTGTCAATATTTCATTCTTGTGTTGCTTAGGATTTTAATCTTCGGTGATGAACTGACAATGGACTGTTATGCGAGAATGAAGTAGGATCTCTGCACCTTCAAGCAAGTTGTGAAAAGCATGGAAAGGTACAGGTCAGATCAGCTACTCTGCTAGCTATCTTTAATGTGCTGTTCCCAACCAATTTAGATGATACTGGCTGTGATAATGTACCCTTGTAACATTAAGAAGGATGAACAGTTAGAGCCTAGAACTTTTCTGAAATGTGTCAGATATCAACTTAAGAAGTATGCCTTATAGTTTTCAGTTTAGACTAATAATGTTGTTACGGTAACATAGGACCATCTATTTTTTGTACTTTTAAAACCACATCTGAATATCTCTGTTTGCTAATAACTATTGTTTGTATTTCCATTGTACATCATGGAAGCAAAGAAATGTATGAGACAAGCATGTCCATAAAGAAGTGCTGCTGCTTTTGGGATTATGGGATACATTTTTGTTAGGATTCCTGCTTTTGTGCATTTATATTCAGAAAATTGGTCTAATAGATACTACTGAACTACTGTTTTCTGGAATCTGAATATTATTACATCATGGGTGGCACTTCCAGCTATCTATTTGTTAAAAAAGGAATTTGAATATTATTGCAGACTGAATTTTTATGATGATAATGCAAACTTAAGTTGTCCTAACCTGAGATGAATATGCTCTTTACTATTACTACTACTAAGCTACCCTTGTGCAACCCATTTTAGCTACTAATCCAAACTATTTTTTTTTGCCATGTTAGGCTCAAATGAAAGCCATCATGGCTCAGTCTGCACTAGATGGGGAATAACCAAAGACTCCTGGTGAAGCAATTGCTCATGTTTTGCCATAAATAATTTTTTCTCTCGAAATGTTGGCCTTGAGCCAATAGCCCCCAAGAGAACACTACTGCAGCTACTGCACGTGTACAAGAGTTGGGAGTTGCGGCAGAGAAACAATGGCCACTATTTTACTACTTGTTGGATCTGGTAATGACTTGGACATGTGAGGTTCTTAGTTTGACATGTGACAATTATTTGAACATGCAACTATTAATGGATCTGATTTTGCCAAGTGATGTAATGAATGTGGCCATTTTCAATTTATTGGTTATAAATTGATTTTTTCGGATGCAATATATATAGTTGGCTACAATATATTAAATTACCACGTTATTTGATAATAATATTTTACAACATTTTATTACCTAAGTGGCACCTGCATAGACATCTATGGCCATTGGTTTGCCACGTTTTCTTTGCTTGATAATGGAGCATTGTAAATCAACAATGAAAGTATGATAGGTGAAGAACGTGTTTTTGTTGCGTGTGCATCGTAAATTGGGAAATACGACATAATTTTTAGTTTCAATGACATAAGTGCAATGTCATAGGTCATGTCTCGTAGTGGTGGCTATGTCTGGGACCGCTATATATATGTATGTATGACCTTGTAGTTGGCATGAACTAATGTCAATTTTGTGGCTATGTTTGCCCTCAAAATCATGACTAAATATATACTAGTATACTTAAGAAGGCGACTATTTGGTTGAGAACTAGAATCCCCTAGTATGCCATGAATCAGGGTGCAAGCATTGTTAATGCATACGACGTGTGCAAGCAAATTGAGCCCGGCCTGGCCTGGCCCGAGCTTGATGGGTTTTGGCCCACCCACGAACCTTATTAGACAGTTCCTGGGCACATCCCGCTGCCCGGAATTTTTTTTTCTTGGCCGAGCCTAACCTGAAATATTGTTTTTAGCTATTTTACACTGTATAAAATGAACGGGGGGCCTGCTCGAGCCCGGCCCAAAAAATGAGGCCTGACTTGCCTAGTGGGATGGTCATGGATGAAACTTTTTTGGCCCGAAACAACCGGCCTTTTTTTCGGCCCCATCGAAACCCGACCCGGCAACAGGTCTAGTGCGACAGCGTCGATGTCTTGATTAGGGGTGCAGTGTTGGTGTTTCTCTAGGGCACCAACCTCTCAATGTTAGGGGCCGATGTCTGCTTTCCTAGCCCTTCACACCCAAAGCTCACCAAATAGGAGTGTTGCGATACAATACCATATTGCAACAACGCAGTTGTTCTATAGCAACGAAACACACCTGTGGCAATAGCAACATACTATTGCATCGCTTTAGGTATTTAGTTGCAATAAACAGTTATCTATTGCAGTGGCCGTGAGAAATATTACAACCAACAAAAACTGTGGCAATAGCAACAAACTATTACATCGTCTTAGAAATTTAGTTGCAATAAACAACTACATATTGCAATGGCTGTGAGAAATATTACAACCAACAAAAAGTGTGGCAATAGCAACAAACTATTACATCGCCTTAGATATTTAGTGGCAATACACAGTCTACATATTGCAATGGTCGTGAGAAATATTACAACCCAACAACACTATTGCAATAATTTCAAGCAATAGCAACAATGTTCTATTTGGTTGCAAGTGCACCAGACAGTTGCAACACTAATCAATACTAATGCAACTAAATATCATCATGGCAATATTATTAACCAATAGCAATACTTTTAAAAAAAAGAGTTGCTATAGGTCTCACCTCTTGCAACGCCGAACGTAAAAATTGCAATGCACTATTTTTGTGGTAACACAGTCCCCCTACTGCCACGTTTTTGGACAAATATTGCAAAACACACCCCTATTACAACACAATTTGTGGTGATGCAAATGGCGTCAAGTGGCAATACGGTCGAAATCTTGTAGTGCTCCTTCGGTGTGGGCCCCTTGGGATGTAGTAGAGTGTGGGTATGAACACCATTTGTCCATTTGAGAACCCGACATACCGGATGGTGAGTCACCAATCCATGTGATGCTTCTTTTCGGCCCTTGATCACGCACCGACTTGGAATCAACGGTGGAGAAGGCTTGGAGGTGTGCTTCTTGGCCATCTCCCATGGATTGGTGAGGTGGCACTAGTGGGGCCACACCGGCCGGCGCCATGGTGGGCCCTGGCGGCGCCACCAAGTGGCCCATGGTGGCCCACCTTGCTCCATTTGCTTCTAGTTGCTTGATTTTTGGTATTTTTGTATAGTTTTCCTGCATGAGTAAAGATCTCCAAGTACAACTCGAAATATGTGAATTATAAACATAAATCACTACTTGTGGTATTGTTTTCTCCCATTGTTGGTGCAATGTTGATGGTCAAAATAGGCATTTAGTGACCGTCAACAAGCTCCCCCACACTAAACCTTTGCTCGTCCAGAGCAAAGCGGGAAAACAAAGATTCAGGTGCAACTTGATATGAAACAAGACTTCAAAAGATATGATGCTAACATAAAAGATATACCAAGTCATACCTCATACCTTATGGATTTTGAAGTGTCTACCATGTCGCCTTGATCAGTTGAAAAGTGGAACAGCTTTTGACACCAAGTCCTCACTATCCCCTATGAAGCATACTTGGAGTTTTTATAACTTTTGCAATTGAAAACTTAGCTCATACTTCTCCTCAAATGGTACTCTCAAATCACTCAATGGTGTTTGTATCCTCACCAAGGCATTAGTGTTTTGCCTTACATCCTACTTCTAATAGCCTTATGTGGAGTTTGGGTAGGATAAGTGATGAGGACATCACTCCTTCGGATGTACCCGCTGATCCTCCAACCGTTATGCAAGGTCCAATGACCCGAGCTTGAATGCGTCAACTCAATTTAGAGGTGAGCTCTTCTTAAGCGATCCTTTTCATACTTTTGAGAATAGACTACTACCTAATGATGTTATCTTGCTTAGGAACATAGGAGAGGGTTATGAGGAACTTGGAGAAAGGTATAGAGGTGGAGAAGACCAGCAAGGACGGCCAACACAAGCTGGAGGCCCAGCCCAACTCGACTTCGACTCTGCCTCGGCCTTCAGGACCAGTCAGCAGT